CCAGCCCCCCGAGAAGCCCCAGTGCTCAGCATCTCTCGGCAGATCCCCCCTCGCTCCGGCCGCCGGCGAGGTCCGGGGAGGGAGACGGCCCTCGCTGCTCTGCTTTTCTTTCTCTGCTGGAGTTCCAGCCTAGCACAACTTGAAGACGCGTTGCAAGAGTAGATGATTTTCGCTCCTGTGTTTATTTGATCAGGCTTTTAATTAAAGCTGTCTTATTAATTAGCTACGACCGCGGCAAAAGGCTTTTTCTCTGTGCAAACAGACTGGAAGCTCTATTTTGAAGCACCCTTTGGGCTGACTCATTCATTGTTTGGTTTTAATATTAACTATGAGGCACTGTGGCTGTAAGCATCGTCTGAAAGCTTTAAGACAAATATGCAGGCTGTCCTAGTGGGTCAGACTTGCTCTCCCTTTATTCTCATTTCTTTTACCTGTCTCCAGTCACAGCCAATGTTCAGGTAACGTCTAGGGTCTCTGAAGGGTGTTTTTCGAATTAGTGTGTGTTTTAACGTTCCCCTCACCTCTCAGCTGGAAGCCTTGGCCATGTTCCGCTCTGTGCACCCCTTTCCCCCGCCAATATTGGGTCGATTAGAAGCCCAGCCTTAACAGGACAGCAGCTCAGCAGCCACTGCCTTATCTCAGAGGCATGAGTTCTTCGGCACAGAAAGATTTTGCTGCTTTACCTCCCATTCCCTGATCAGAAATACAGCTACGTGGTTCTGCAGGCCATCGGACGGCACTGGGGTGGGGAATGCCTATCTCTACCAGGCTTTGCAAGAACACCAGCCGTGCTTCATGCAGCTATCTGCTGCAGTAAGTTTTCCTTGGCCAGAGTGCAAAAGAATGGACCAGATCCACACTAAGTTATACCCAGGGGGACACTGAATCAGGTGGGACGGGGACTTTGGGCCAGGCTGTGTTTCACGCACGCTGCCCCCCCCGCCTCTGCCGCGGGACTGGCGTTTGCGGGGAGCAGAGCGAGTTATGCGCAGAATACACTGAGAACATACCCAGATCCCCAGCCCGTGCCACCTGCAGGGGCTCTCAGAATCACAGAATCACAGAATGGTAGGGGTTGGAAGGCACCTCTGTGGGTCATCTAGTCCATCCCTCTCCCTCTCCCCTGGAACAGGGACAGCGTGAGCATCACGGGGCAGAACCAGCGTGATGCAGGGTGTCATGGCGGTGGCTTTAGCCACGCTTCCCCTGCTAACGATGGAGCCCTGGCCCAGGCTGCCCAGGGAGGCTGTGGAGTCTCCTTCTCTGGAGATATTCAAGCCCCGCCTGGCCGCGGTGCTGTGCAGCCTGCTCTGGGTGACCCTGCTTGGGCAGGGGGTTGGGCTGGGGGACCCACAGAGGGCCCTGCCAACCCCCGCCATGCTGGGATTCTGTGATCCTGTGGCCAAGCGACGCGCCAGGCGTGTGATTTCAGACCGGCGGAGCCTGCTGGGCTTCCCAAGGGGCGGTGGGAGCAGGGGACACGGCGCGAGGCAGAGCACGTCTCTAGGCACAGCAGCGAGCTGGGGCTGTGGGCAGCGGGCAGGGGTGACGGTGCTTTTACCTGTCAGCGCCAGGGCCATGTCCAAGCCTTCGGGATGCTTCTGGCCTCTTCCCAGAGGAGCCAGCGGGACGAGGGGGAGCTTCTCTCCGGATCCTCTCCGCACGAGAGCCTGCGGGGCCGGGGCTTGGCCTCTGACGAGATGCATCGGCCGTTGCAGAAGGGACTTCAAAGCCCCCACAGCTTTCTTCACCTCGGAGGCTGGAGCCAGAGAGAAAATCCCTCTCCAGCCAGCCCTGTTCCCAGACCCGTCCAGGAAGAAGTGTTCATACACCTCAGGGACAGAGATAAGCAAGGAGTGTTCAGCTGGAGCCGAGTCGGGATCCTTGTTTTGCAGCTGAGCGTGGTCCAAGCTGCTGAACTTCTTTCGCTTCCTCTCTTTACCCTTGGCTTTTTTTCTGCTTCCTTCTGGTTCATTGAAAAAATATTCATACAGTTCAGGCAAGGATATTTCCCTTTCCAAGGGTGTTTTCTCCCCCTCCACCGAGTTCCCCATCCCTTCTTCTTCCCCTTGGGAGTCACAGAACAAATAGTCGTACATCTCGGGCCAAGTCACGTCCAGGGTGTCTGCCCTCGCAGGCAGGGTGGCCCCAGCTGCAAAGCAAGGGGGTCCCAGCTCCCCGGGGGTCTCAGCTGCAGGCTCCCTGTGAGCTCCCCCAGCAGCATCCCCTCCAAAAGCCGCCACGCTCTTGGGATGGAGAGGCTTCCCCGGCATCTCCTGGCATGCCTCTGCTGAAGGAGCCATGGCAGGGATCACAGGCACGTTGTCACGTACACCCGAGCCACCAGCCTGCCCTGGCTTTGAATGCTTGGTGGCCTTCACCTTTCCCATGGGCTGTGCCGCCGGCTCCTTCACCTTCTGCTTCGGGACGGTGCTCCCGGCTGGATCGCCCTCATCCGTGCCAGGGCCGGGCACCGGCCGTTTGCTCTCCCCTCCCTCCTCGCTCCCCAGCTTCGCAGGAGCTGGCTTGGCTGCCTTCTCCTTCCCTTTGCTCTTCCGTGAGGACAGCGGCGAGCTCAAAGGTGCCTTCACAGGGACCACGGTCCCCTGTGCTGCAGCCCCCGCCGGCTCCCGGTCCCCTTGGGCTGCCTCGAC